TATATATATATATATATATATATATATATATTCTTTTTATCAAATGGGTTGAAGAGCAAAGTAATGTTATCGTTTATTGTTGAAACTTGAAAAGAGCCTTACAAGGTAGGAAATGCGTATAATACATAGATTAGCAAGCACCATTTTGTCGGAATACTTTTTTGGAAATATCAAATGCGTCCACTTGGCCAAAACAAGTTGTATTGGGTACCTCTTTATCCCTATCATTGATGACCAGTATATATAGCGCCCGTAGTCTTATACTAAAAAAAATTGTTTTCTTGTATCATTTGTCTAGTATGGATGCAATAACAGTCAAAGCCCCAATTTTATGACTATAGTTTATACACCTGAATTAGAAATGCTATATATTCTCGGATACAAACTCATATAATCATCAATTTGGTTAATATGCAATTGTCATTTTCAAGCATTTATAAAATTCTTTATTAGAGTATGGTGCAAATTTGTTACTGAAAAAGAATTTTTCTCATAATGTAAAGACAACTTAGACCTTAAATGATAGTACTTAGCTATATATAGAGTAGCGGCAAATCAATATTGAATATCCTAATGTAGTGTAAGGATGATTCCTTCTTCATTAGTTCCACCTGTTTTAGCTGAATAGTAAGTCTCTGAGTCGCGTGAAATGAATTTATGGACACAACAACCCACAATTAAACACCCGTACCACACCCACACTACATGCATGTGTTAGTATGATATGTATGAGTAATTCCAAGAACCAATAAAACATATGGTACATAAACACAAGCATGTAACGGACCCTCATCCCGTAATTATTTCAACATAGTCCTTTCAGTTTTCCCTTATGCCTACATGCACATACTTCCCTGCTCGTGACCACACTTAGATGCATGCCCCAATTGCTTATTGTATTGCATTGCAATGTACATATATTTGGCTACGTACACATATGTTTATCTTACACCCGTCACGCGAAATCGTCTTTAATGATCACAACAATAATATTAATATATGCTTCCATCTTAGAATACCACATGTATCTAACCACAACGGATGCCGTATAAACCAAAACTGCCTTTCAATAACAAAACGGCAAAAGCAGTCCCTCGATTTTTAGCTGAATTAAATTAAATAGCGCTACGTTTATTTTTATTTTTAGAATTTGTCTAATTCTGAGAAAGCATAACCACCAATCAGTAGGTGACACATAAAGACGTATGTCATAGCTGGACTCATGGAGAGCCCGGTCACAAGCTCGAACACTACAACCCTTTACAAATTACAATCTTATTTGTCATTTTTTTTTAGGTTTTTTTTTTTTGGTTTTTTTTTTTTTGAAATAAAACCAAACAGTCGGCGACCTTGTTTTATGTACTGTTTTAGCCTTTCAGGTGTTTATGGGTCTTTTCAATAGAGCCGGACTTGGCCCATGAATTTACATTTTGAACCTCTTTTCTATTTTAGTTTTAGTTTTTATTATTAATTTAGCAATTTTGACAAAATTGTGGTCAAAACTTTAATACTGAGCCATGCTTGTCTTATTTTACCGGACAGCTAAATATCTATGGCTAAAGTTAATTTTGTATTTTTCTAGCATTAAAATTTCTCTTATTAACTTGATAAGGTGTATTCAATCTCTAATTTGAATTGTTGTGTATTAACCTAGCTCAGTTGGTTCCTTTGTTGTTAGAACTTTCACACAAACAGCAAATAAAGGAAACGCAGTCATGTGCACCATTTAAATTATGCTAATACATATTGACAAAAAGCCATTAACAAACACAAAAACCAAAAGAAAAAACAAGAGGACATAATCATCCGCTCACTTTGATTTCAATTATCAGCCGGTATGCCAAAGTTTCAAAACTTTCATTGGCTCTTATAAATTTTTGTACATATACAAGCGTTTATTTTGGCTTAACATGATCGGGAGAAAAGAAACAAGCCGTTATTATTATTGTATTTTCTGTTGGAAATATATAATTGAGAGTAAAAATTGTATATTAATTAAAAATACATGTAACGAATACGAGTATTAAATATCTTAAAATTTCGAGAAACATTTAATACTTCATTCTTTAAGTAATTAGTAAAAGTAATAAACAACAATTTTAATCCTTAACCAAATTTTTATGAACAAATATTCACTTTTTGAAATGTCGTGAATTGAAAACTAGGTTTGTATCTCTCAAGGGGTGAAATATGTTTATATGTGTGTGCTCGAAGAATAAATTAAATAGATCAAAGCTCAAGGAGAATCACTAGATATGGTATCATAGGTGTGGTTGTGAATAGAGGGATGTGTTCACCTACTGTGGCTCTAAAATTCAGCACAGTAACAACTCATAAGAATGCTGGGCTTAGGTGTCTTCTACGTCCGAGAGGATGCATTTATATAGAGGGGAATATATTCCCTAATGAGAGAGATAGAAAAAAAAAGGAGCCAAAACCATTAGCCATTGCATCTATTATCACAATGAGATTTGTCTCATCGCGGGTGTAAGGTGGTGAGCTGTGCAAAAGAGAAGCAATTTATGCAATGAGGACCATGTGCTCCCCTATGGAATATTAACTTATAAAGCCTATGTTGGGTCTTTGGCCCATCATAATAAACTTATGTAAGCTGGCCAAAACACTTTCGTTAAAGAGAAAATATTACTCTTATTTTACATGAGAGTATTCATCTCATGTTAGAGAGAAATAAGGTGGGAGCCACTACTAAAAGAAAAAATAAAAATAAAAGTAAAAGAAGATGAAATTTTTGAAGTGATAGAACATGAGATAGCTACCTTATAGTATTTCCCTTTGTTAAAATCAAGATTCTTAAAATCAAATCAAGTTCCTAGCAGGTTGCCAAGAAATAAGTAAAACAAGGTATCTATGTAAATATTAGGTGTATATTAGTCATTGAAGTTAAGAAAACTGCATGGCATTTAACGAGCCAACTCAATAATTAATGCGTCATGTCGACTTTGGCCCAAATTAAAGTTCCCAAATTGTGGGGAACAAAAGCATGAACAACGTGACGTTATTTGGTAATAAAATTTTTTGAATGACAAACACAGTGACGTTATTATCTTTTAAGGACCAAATTAAGACTATACTAAAAAAATATTTAAGAGTAATATTTTAAAAATTTAAAGTAAATACTTTTGTGGTCCCTAACAAATATGGTACTCACTTTAGTCCATTACAAAAAAAAAAAAAAAGTGTCGAGGTCTTTAAGAAATTCAAAGTGGATCCATTTAGTTGTAATCGTGATCCCTCACAAATTCAAAAAAAAAAACCTGCAGTCCTTCAAAAGGACTAAAATGGATCCACTTTAAATTTCACAGGGACCAGCCGACTAATTTTTTTTTGTAAGAGACTAAAGTTGGGACCGTATTTTTTGTTAGAAACCCAAAATTATATTTACTCTTTATTATAAGGAAAATATAAATAATTAATTCAGATAGAATATAAAAAATAATTTGAAAAATGTTTGAAATTATAAAAAATATATGCATAATTAATTTATTTATTTTTTTAAAAAAAGTTTATTTGGGCTATGCCCTTTATCTCCGAGAAAGTGTAAATATAAGAGTATTTCTTCAAGTATTCGATCCATTTTTAATGCAATTACTTCCACTCCATTCTTCTAAATTTATGGGCTTAAACCCACTCCAAGGGCATATCATTTCACCAAAAAAATTCAAACTCTTAACACTGTGTTTTTTTTTTCCTTTTGATTTTGAGAGAGAGAGAGAGAGAAGTGCATTTATAAAGAGAATCAAAATTAAGCGTTCACCATGGCAAATAAGTTTCTATGTAATAAGATAACGATCATTTTTTAAAAAAGTTTAACAAATATTGAAATTATAATAATTTCAGTAGAGAAAAGAGAATAGAGAAATAAAAAATTGAATGGTATGAAATTGATATTAATCTAATGTATTAAGATAAGAAACAAAATACAAGGTATTATTCTCTATTTATGATAATATTATACTCTATGTTAAAATTTTAAAAATGTAATAGTTATTTTATAAAAACAAAAATATATTTAAGTTAATTTTATATTTTCTATAATTAATTATATAATTCGATTCGAGTCCGCACTTTCGAGAAAAGAATGTGTATAACAGGAGTCAATTGGGCGCGTAGTTTTAACTCATCTCGAAGTAACAGTTAGCAGAAAAAACCCAGAGACGTACAGAATCAAATTGTAAATGGCCGCGAATTCTAGGTTGCTCGCCACGTTAAGTTCTACCTCTAGCTGTAAAAAGTTAAATATAATAATCATTTAACAACAAAAAAAAAACAAAATAAATTTTTTTAAAAAACATTGTCACTGCTTAAAAAAAGTTATTGACCCACACACATGACCCGCCCACCATCACTTGACAGCACACAGTGAAGTGTTTTTCTGACCATGAAGATCACATTACCAAATTACCCTCTCACGTTTTTCACTTTTCCCGTTAACATTACGGAAAGGAAGAAAGGTAATTTAGAGAAAATATCCTCTTCATTAGTCAAACGAATTTGACCGATTAATGTTAAAAAAGCCGGGTATCGTGGGCCTCACGTGACTCGCATCACAATATCGAAGACAATGGTACATCAATACATGATTACTAAGCACCACCCTCTCATCTCATCACCGATAAATGTTGTCTCATTGGTGCAGATGTCTTACGTGGTATAATCTATGCCACGTGTTTAAATCGCATGAATGCGGCGAGCCGAAGAACCGTGCCTTCTCACCAGTAAGATAGCCCTCTCTTTTTTAATAAATTTTAATTTAAGAGAAATAAAAATTTTCACCTAAATAAATTTAATGATAGAAAATAAAAAAAAAATAAAAATAAAAATACTAAAAGAGAAAGTATAATAATATTTATTTTATTTGTATTTAATAAAATCAACTAAATTGAGATATTTCCCGTTTCGGCTGTTCGATCCTATAAAACAGCGATTTCAGTGCTTCTTCAGTCTCCTCAGCAACTGAATTCTTGTTCCTTAGTTCCCTAGCTCTGTTCCCAGCTCTTACCCATTCAACCACAAAAACACGAGTACTTAGTAACCTTCATCCTGCAGAATCTGCACTTTTTTTGTGCCTTCTATTCTCCTCCCCCTTTGAATCAGAAGATTTCCTTTTCCATTCAAGGCATCACTAGAAGTTTCAACGAAAGTCTCCGCCACCCACAGTTGCTCATTCATCTCAATAATTTATCTATCTCAACTCAACCCCCCCCATGATGTTAAAAGCTCTTCTTTTCTCTTTATTCTTCCTATCACTCTCTACCGTTTCTATCCCCATCGGGTTTTAATGTTTTTTGCTTTCCTCTTTTTTCCTTTTCCCTTCAATTCTCACCTTTTCATGTCTTTTTGAAAGATTTCTCATTTCTCCCAAAAAAAAAAAAAAAAATACCCTTTGGAGTGGCTATCCTAAAGCTTGAACCTTCTTCTTCACAGTTCCCTTATATTCCAAAACCCGGGCCTATTTGTTTCCTCAGTACACCCAACTAGCATAAGAAAGACATGATGGAACAGAGTAGTATCCTATGCAAATACACAGTGCATCACAACGTTACCAAGAAGCTGGTCTCACCAAAGAAGAAGGCTTCCGATGCAAAGAGCCACCCCATAGAGCCAAGAGTGTTGCGGATATCCGTCACTGATCCAGACGCCACGGACTCCTCCGGCGACGAAGAAGGAAACTGCTTAAACCGCCGGAGAATGAAGCGCTATGTCAACCGGATTGAAATCGAAACCACCACCTCCAAAAAAGTCGCCAACTCCGCCGCCGCCGTCATCCCGAATCCCAGGAAAAGGCTCACCGGCGAGCCCTCCTCTAGCCGGAGGCCGGCGAAGCTTCCGGCGACGAACAACGGAAGGAAGTTCCGCGGCGTACGGCAGAGACCTTGGGGGAAATGGGCGGCGGAGATTCGAGATCCGGCACGGAGGGTGCGGGTCTGGTTGGGTACCTTTGACACTGCAGAAGAAGCTGCTATGGTCTACGACAATGCAGCGATTAAGCTTCGAGGCCCTGATGCTTTGACGAACTTCGTCACGCCACCGGCGCAGAAAGAAAAGCCACCGCAGGAGGAGGCGGATGTGACTGCCGTGAAACCACAAATGAAGGTGGTTGTGAATGCTGAAGCTTCAAGCTCCAGCTACAATTCGGGCGATTATCAGTGTCTCAACCTTTCGTCTCCCACATCGGTGCTTCATTTCAGGAGCAACCCGAGCGAGGAAATCGCGGAATCTCAAAAACCGGTCGAACCGGAAGAAGCAAGTGAGGCTGAGGAAGTGTGTCAAGTTTTCAGAGAGTGCCAAGGCGAGACAAGTTTGTTCGATGAGACAGGGGAGTTTTTCCAACCGGATATGCCTATGTGGGACGATGTTTTCAATTTCCAAACTTTCGAGTACCCTTTGCTCTTCGAAGAAGAACCGCCCCAGATGTTGGGCGAAACGACGCCGGATGGTGATGATGATGACGATGATTTCAGTTACAATATCACTCTGGCTGATTCTCTCATAGATTTTGAGAAAGCGTGTCCTCCATCAACGTCGTGCCAAGTGGACGATTACTTCCAAGACATTTTGTCAGGCTCAGATCCTCTGGTCGTGCTCTGAGATTGAGAGTGATGGGTTTGTTTTGCTAATTGCCGTTGTTCACGGCAGATTTTGGTTCCGGTAGCAGAAAATTTTAAATAAATGCTTAGTCTTTTTTAAAAAAAATATAAAATAAAATATTAGCTTTATTTGCATATTTATTATTTGTTTTAGATACTCCGTTGCAAATAGCTAACGGATGAGTTGAGTGAAGTTTTGTTTAGATTATATTTATAATACTTCCTTTGCCTAATAACTACGATGGTTCAGAATGTACTTGTATATTGTCCATATGTTAATCAAAAGTGTATGGAGTTCATTTCAATTTGATTTCCTCTCCTCTTTGTTTGAATACTATTCCTATCCAAATAAAGATTTTCAACTATAAAAACTACTTAATTTACAATTTTTGAAGAAAATAATAAAAAGTTGTTAATTTTTTAATATACTTAAATGGTGAATGAGCGCTGATTGCGGTGGGGCCGGTGAGTCGGTTTGGTCCAGAGCGGTGGTGCAAGTAGCTATGGTCGTGTCTCGTGTGTGTGATAATGCGAATTCGACACAAATTGTTTTTCCTAGTGTCGTTTGAAAAAAAATGTTTAAAACACGTTAGGTAGCGCACGCGGGCCGAAGATAAACATTAGTCTATAAAGCGAAACAAGTGGGTGTGCATATCGAAAGGTGAACTGAAGAAGAGTGTATTAATTGTCGGGATTAGACCCTTTTCAGTGCACGAGACTAATTAAGCTTCCGGCCAGAAAATAAAGACATTATTAAGCTCTAAATATGTTACATTTTCATTCACTTTGCCGGTGCATTTAGCTATTTAAATGTCAAATATTTAAGATGGAGTTAATATTCATTTTCGCCATGCATGGCCATGGGTTTTAATTATCTTTAAATTAATTTACATGTGGGAGGACTTTGCCTCCCTTTGAGATTTACGTATGGCTCCCTAATTATTAGTCTTGAAATAATATATTTTAATAACCATTTATTATATATAAAAAAAAAAAGTAACATAACTTACATTCACCGAATCAAACATGTTATAAAGATATCCAACATTTTGCGATTTGGGTGGATTTTAATGGGTGGCAAACTGGCAATACTACCAACTGAATATGAATTTACTTACAAGATGGTATAGAAAACTAAGAGGATTTGAATATGTTGTTATATTTAATGAAATGGCTGATAGCCAATATATACACAAGTCGGTTATACAGAATCAAGGAGGATCAACTAGAATAAAGTATACTGTTCAACAAACTATATATGGAATAATAACAAACTATTCTTGCTAAAAACTAGGACTTAGTTGCTAAAGGATAAGACATTCGTAACATCCAACTGGTATAGGTGCCATGATTTGGCAGCAGCTACCGCAAGAAGTGTTCGGACACTCACCATTTTGGCTACAGGAACATATGTATCGAAGTATTCTTCTCCAGCTATTTGATTGTTACCGGCAATGACCAACCGTGCTTTGAATCTCTCCACTGTACCATTTGAGTTGTACTTAATGCGGTATACTCACTTGCATGGAATGGCACGTTTTCCTGGTGGCAAAGAAGTGAGTTCCAACGTGTGATTTTGTTCAAGGGCATCTATTTCTTTTCGCATTGCTACACGCCACCTTTCATCAGTTACAGCATCCTTGAATGTTTTTGGTTCAACACCAGAAGAAATGGCAGCAAGGAATTGTTGATGTTTGGGAGAGAATCTAGAACAAGAAACAAAGTTAGCAATAGGATAAGCCATACCTGAGGAAGGACTGGAAGAAGTAGAAGAAGCTAGTGGATTATGTGCGATGACTTTGGAGCATTCGAAATCTTGGAGATATGATGGAGGACGGCGAGAACGGTGACCACGTCCCAAAGGTGCAGATGGATGTGTGACTTCTGGGGGCTGTTCTTGTCGGATAGAAAGCTCATTGGAGACAGTAGGGGCAGATTCGGGCTGAGCCTGTTCAACAGGGAGAGTGTCTTCAATTAAAGGGACAGGGTTGGTAACAACTTGGGAATCAAAGGATGGGCTTTGTGGAGCAAGGGTTGGTTCGGGTGATATGGGGTTATGGGGGTTTGGGTCGTGAGGAATATCAGTGGTAGGAATGACTGTGGTTGGTGCAAAAGGAAAGGTGTTCTCTTCAAATACCACGTCTTTGAATACAAAAACAGTATGTGTTTCAAGGTTATAAAGCCTCCAACCCTTTTTGCCAAAAGGATATCCCAGGAACAGACACCGAGTTGATCGAGCTGCAAACTTGTCCAACGGTTTGGGACGTGGATGAGCATGGCAAAGACATCCGAATATGCGAATATGATCATAGCTGGGTGTGCGGTTTAAAAGACATTCATATGGTGTTTTTCCTTGGAGAAGAGGAGTGGGGGTTCTATTGATTAAATGTACCGCATTTAGAACACATTCACCCCAAAACTCGATAGGAAGACTAGCTTGAAAGCGTAATGCTCTTGCAACATTCAAAATATGTCTATGTTTCCGTTCAACACGACCATTCTGCTGTGGTGTGTCTACACATGATGTTTGATGTATAATTCCCATATCGGAATAAACCTTGCGGAGATTATGAGCACAAAATTCTGATCCATTGTCGGAGCGTATTATTTTGACCATGGTATTAAACTGATTATGTACCATGAGAAGAAATCGAGTTAAGTATTGGAACGTTTCAGACTTGGTGGTCATTAAATAAACCCAGACGTTTCTGCTATAATCATCCACAATTGTTAAAAAATATCTTGCACCGGTTAGAGAGGTAGTTTGATATGGACCCCAGATATCGCAGTGAATAAGATCAAAGCATGCAGTAGTTTTATTAATGCTAATAGGGAATACAGTACGAGTTTGTTGTGCGCGTAGGCAAATGTCACAAACTGAAGGAGAATGACCCCTATTTTTATTCACTGTAACAAAAGGAAGAAAGCTTAAAAACTGAAATGAAGGGTGACCCAATCGACGGTGCCAAACATCTGCATTCTGTTGAGTGTGAGCCGCATATGCAGTAGAGATGGATTTGTTGTTGGATGAGTCATGCACATAAACACCAGCTTGCAATCTACCCAGTCCAGTCTTGATCCTCGTTATGGGGTCCTGCAATTCACAGCCATTGTGAGTAAAAGAAATGATGCAATTTGTATCAACAAGTAATTGAGCAACTGATATGAGGTTGCATTGTAATTTGGGAACATATAACACATTCTGAAGAGAAATATGAGATGTCAACTTGAGACTGCCACTGTGATTGGAAACAAGATGATCACCATCAGGTAAACCTATTGTAGTGGGTGGAATAGATGTAACATTGGAGATTAAATGGAGGTTCCCTGTCATGTGTTGAGAAGCGCCACTATCCACCAACCAGGTAGAAGGCAGAGTGTGCTTACCAGAAAGGGATGTAGTGTTAGCAGACGGTGTAGTGGAGGAAACAACCATGTTGGCAATTTGCTGTAGAAGCTCAGGACTCAGGTTGGGAATCGAGTTTTGGTTGGACACTATAGGTGTTGCAGCTGCTGTTTGTGATGCAGAAAAATTGAATGGGTTGGGACGCTTGTCATTAGCATTGATATTGACAGCGGAAGAATCTGAATCAGAATCAGCCATTGGGAAAGTGGATCGATACCTTCAAACTGATACCATATAGAAAACTAAGAGGATTTGAATATGTTGTTATATTTAATGAAATGGCCGATAGCCAATATATACACAAGTCGGTTATACAGAATCAAGGAGGATCAACTAGAATAAAGTATACTGTTCAACAAACTATACATGGAATAATAACAAACTATTCTTGCTAAAAACTAGGACTTAGTTGCTAAAGGATAAGATCAAAGGTGATCTTCTCCTAACAGATGGTGCATTTAAAGATTTCAAAAACGTATAGCTAATTATATTTTTATTTCCTTTTAATGTCACAATTCTCACACAGTTTCCGTTGTTATTTTGAATTACCTTCTCAAACATGTATTTAAAAATAAAATACACAATGTATGTTGCTTTATTCATAATGTTATTACCAAATTTTAAGGGAGATTTTTTTTTTTTAGCGTTTCAAAGTAAGAACTTTTTCAATCTTACAATGTTTACATTCTTTCCGTCAACCCATAAAATGTACAGTGATGGTGTTGAAAAGTCAGTTTAAATAAGCTGGCCAAAGAATGATGGAACAATAAATTCTATATTTGTCTTCTTTTTGAATTTATATCCAATAGATATGACACAGAATGAAAGACGAATCTAGTTGATATGACACAATTTTGAAGAAGAAAAAACTCCAATAAGAAAGAGAAAGTATTTTTCTCGTTCTAAGAAAAAGAGAGAGAAACTACCTGTACAAGACAAAAGAGGAAGCTTGATATTGACACAATTCAAGATTCCTGGTATCTCTCCACTTTTGCTTTTATTAATTATTTTGTTGCATTTATTTCCTTAAACAAAAACATAATTTAATGAAAACTTTTATTTATTATTAATGGCTATACATTTTTTTAGCACGGCCGATATAAAAAGAAGTGGGATAGCAGTTTTCTTCAAGATATTAATTACTCACCAGCATAACCTATCAACTAGTGTAATTCTTTGTGTAGATAAATGTATTTATATCGTCTCGAAAAATTTGTTGTTTACTTTCTTATTTTGATATATTTATTGGGGAGAGGTTATACTTACAACTTATTTCCTTTACAACCTCTTACAACCAATATCTTAATCGTTGATTTCCGTCAATCAACGGTAAAGATTTTTACAAATAAAATTTATTAATTAATTATTAATTCGCAATAAATCTTAACCGTTGATTGGTGAAAATCAACGGTTAAGATATTGGTTGTAAGAGGTTGTAAAGGAAAATAGGTTGTAAGTATAATCTTCCCCTATTTATTGTATTAAAAATTATAGAAATATTAATTATATTTTAACTTTATTATTATTTTAATATATTTCAAATAAATTAACAAATTATAAATGGAGTAATAATCTTTTAAGTTACGAATTAAGGCTATTTAAGCATTTGACAATTTTTTAAATATTATATACTTATTTTAAACTACAAATATT